CACATGGGGAGGGCGGCGAACCTACGCAAGGAAAACGGGGACCCTGCATGGGCAGGGGGCAGCCATGGGGAGGAGGGGGACCACGTGGGGATAATGGGGTCATACGTGGAGAGGAGGGGACCCTACAGAAGGCCTGGGCTGGGCAATGCTGGGCTCTCGTCGGAGGGTCAGGTAGTGCTGGCGGCCGGCAGGAAGCCCTGGGTAGTGGGTGGCGGGCAGCAGGCCCCGGGCGGCAGGCCCCGTGGAGAGCGGAAGGTGTGTGGCGAGGCCCAGGCAGGAGCCCAAGGCTGGAGTCCGGCCCTGAGAGTGCTTCCCGAGCAGCCCCCGGCGGGAACAGAAGAGGCCAAAGTCTAGGAGCTCCGGGACTTCTCCGCGGTGGCAGAGGAGGGCTGCCATTGTCAAGGCGGCACAGAAGCCTCGGGGGGTTCCGGGACCTTTGCTGGAGGAGCTGGGGTAGGGTAGGGCGGGGGCCGCAGAAGCCTCAAAAGCGAACGGGGAGAGGCCGCGGCACCTGCGGAGCACAGTCCAGTTTGCCCGGGGCACGGCCTCTCGAGTGTGCCCAGGAAGCAGACAGGGTGACCCGGGTTCCCTGGGCGGTCTGCAGGCCTCCCAGTGTCCTCTGTGCAGACCTGACGCCACCTGCTACCCGCAGGTGCTGAGACCCCGAGCCCCTCTGCCCCTGGGTTGGCAGCCTCTGGGGTGTGGTTTCCCAGGCTGTCTTTTCAGCGGGTGCACAGATTCCCGCCCTCCCAGTGTCCCTTCCTGTGGTCTGGACGTGGGGGCCTGCAGACCCAGCGTGGGGGCGCTGTGGGTGACAGAAGGTGGCGGGGCAGAGGCGGCTGCAGTGTGAACTCAAAAGCATGTGGGGGTGGGGGGTGGGGCAAGAGCAGTTGGGTGGTCTGCGTCTGCTCTGTGACTTCTCAGCTATGCGACCCTGGGAAGTTACCTCACTTCTTTGAGGCTCAGGCTTCCCTCATCTGTAAAATGGAAGAATAGGATCGACAACTTTGCAGGGTATCTGTGGGGATTCTTGATATACAAACCATATAAAAGACCTTCCATAAGAGAGGGATGCTTTTCTGCCTAGATATTATAGCCTCTATCCTTGTATTAAAATTGATTATCAAAATGTTTACTGTTTCCCCTGCCCTTAGAAATAAAAGAATCATGGCCGGGCACGGTGACTCACGCCTGTAATCCCAGCACTTTGGGAGGCCGAGGCGGGTGGATCGCCTGAGGTCAGGAGTTCCAGGCCAGCCTGGCCAACATGGGTGAAACCTCATCTCTACTAAAAATACAAAAAAAAAAAAAAAAAAAAAATTATCCGGGCATGGTGGCACGCACCTGTAATCCCAGCTACTTGGGATTCCCTCTTGTGAAAGGTGGGAGGTGGAGAAGGGACAGGAGAGGTAACACCTCTCTGAGTCCAACTCACCCTTGAACAACCTGGGTTTGAACTGTGAGTCCACATGTGTGCCTTGGCCACCCCTGAGGCAGCAAGATCAACCCCTCCTCCTCTTCCTCAGCCTACTCAATGTGAAGATGAGGATGAAACCCTTTATAATAATTCACTTACACTTAATGAATAGTAAATTTTCTCTTCCTTATGATTTTTCTTTTTGAGACGGAGTCTGCTCTGTTGCCCAGGCTGGAGTGCAGTGGCATGATCTTGGCTCACTGCAATCTCCACCTCCTGCGTTCAAGCAATTCTCTCTAACTCAGACTCCTGAGTAGCTGGGACTGCAGGCACCCACCACCATGGCTGGCTAATTTTATTTATTTTTTTTTTTTGTATTGTTAGTAGAGATGGGGGTTCGTCATGTTGCCCAGGCTGGTCTCGAACTCCTGACCTCAAGTGATCTGCCCGCCTCAGCCTCGCAAAATGTTGGGATTACAGGTGTTAGCCACTGTGCCCAGCCTTTTTTAAATAATGTTTTCTCTATTGTAAGAATACAGTATGTAATACATATAACATACAAAACGTGTTAATCGACTGTTCGTATTATTGGTAAGGTTCCCAGTCAACAGCAGCCTATCAGTACTTATGTTTTTGGGGAATCAAAAGTTATATGTGGATTTTCAACTACATGGGGGGTTGGCACCTCTAACTCCTGCATTGTTCAATAGTCAACAGTACATCTTTGTATAATTACAACTTTTAGAACTATTTCTATGTTTCATAGTAAAAAAAAAAAAAAAATTAAATCAACAAGGAATTGAAGAAGGGTGGTAGAGATGACCCAAAATGGAATACGAACAGAAACAAGTGAACCTGCTGTTTTACAAATGAATAACATGCACTCAGGCACCCTCGGGGAGCAGTAACCTATGTAGCTTTAGAAACAGTATTTTGACTATATGCTCTACAATCAGAGGTAAAAAAAAAATTGCACAGTATTGTGCCATTGGTAGAGGAGCACACATCTCACATCGAACTCACATCTCTCTTTTTCACAGAGATGTGAGTTAGAAATCCATGAACTACTTGATGTGGATTCTGGCACTGAGCAAGTCTATATACTGCGGCTAGCAAGAGCCAGATTTCTCACCATCAGGAAAATGGGCTAAAAATAAGGAAAGGGGACAGACGCAGTGGCTTATGTCTGTAATCCCAGCACTTTGAGAAGCTGCAACAGAAGAACTGCTTGAGGTCAGGAATCCAAGACCATCTAGGGCAACATAGCAAGACCCCTATATCTACAAAAAAGATAAAAAATTTAGCCAGGTGTGGTGGTGCACCCCTGTAGTCCCAGCTACTTGGGATGCTGAGGCAGAGGATCACTTGAGCCCAGGAATTCAAGGCCACAGTGAGCTATGATCGCACCACTGCAGTCCAGCCTGAACAACATAGTGAGACCATAGCTCTAAAAAATTAATAATGAGAAGAGTAGGCTAGAATAAACATTATGGTGTTGGACTGGAATTGGAGACATCACTGTGAACTCCTGGTTTTTAAAATACATACAGATATAGAAAGCGCTTTAGAAATGCACGTGTGGACATGTATTTCCTAACTCTATCCACTGTTAAGGGCCTAAAAGTACTAACACCTGAGACCAGTGAACTCACCCAGCACCCAGATCTTGTTTTTTGTTGTTGTTGTTGTTTGGTTTTGTTTTGAGATGGAATTTAGCTCTTTCACCCAGGCTGGAGTGAAGTGGCCCAATCTTGGCTCACTGCAACCTCCACCCCCGGGTTCAAACAATTCTCCTGCCTCAGCCTCCTGAGTAGCTGGGATTACAGGTGCACACCACCAGGCCCGGCTAATTTTTGTATTTTTAGTAGAGACGGGGTTTTGCCATGTTGGCCAGGCTGGTCTCAAACTCCTGACCTCAGGTGATACACCTGCCTCGGCCTATCAAAGTACTGGGATTACAGGCATGAGCCACTGCACCCGGCCAGATTTTGGTTTTGAATGCTGTTCTCAATAAAAGGCACCAAGACTCTGGAAGAAATGAGTATTTCCAGGGCTATGGCAAGGAAAGTACAAGCTGAGCTTCCAACATCTTGTGGAGCCAAAAGGCAAAGCCTCTGACAAGCTGTGGGGAAAGGCATCAGAACATCAGCATGGAGGGAACAGTAGAGGGAGGGGACAGCCTGCAAAGCCTTCAGAAAGGAGGGAAATTAGAAGAAGGAGACTTCAAGGGCGAGGAAAGGGTGGTGGTGTCAGATGTTGCTGAGAGTACGATCAGATCTAAAAACCATCTTTCTAGAAGCTTTTGCTGCAGATGTCTCTGGTGTCCTTGAGAAAAGAGTTTTCATGGGGGGGTGAGGAGGCACGACAGGTGTCACAGGTGCACAGAGTAGCTGCAGATGAAGAATGGCAGTCAGGGAATTGGGGGACTATTCTAAGACCTTTGGCTGTGAACGGAAGGAGAGGGCAGGATTGGAAGTGGGCACATGCTCAGGGAGAGTCTTGGTTCTGGATTCTCTTGAGAACATGGCAGCCTCAACAGGAGCCAAGGGCAGTAGAGACAGGCTAGCTGCTCAGTCAACCCATTCCCTCTTCTTCCTGGATGTGTAGCTGCAGCGCCTGCCCAGCCTCCTTGGGACTAGAGGTGTGGCACAGGACCATGAGTGGTGAAAACATATCTAAGCCTGGCCTGCACCAAGTGCTCCCACTTGTTCTCTCCTATCTACTTGCTGGAGTAGTAATTGACTCAGGGAAGAAATTTCTAGGGAGCAGGTGACAGACGGGCTGGGAAGACCAGAGATTTAGGGATAGTGGCAAGAGTGGTAAGGTGGTCCAAGTGGGATAGGATGCATCCTCCTTGTTCTCTCTTTTCTACTTGCTGAATAAAGATCTTTCCAATGACCCAGAACAGGACAGAGGAGCAAAACAGAGGAAGCCTGGGTCCCCAGATGACCACACAGAAGGCCGCCTGCCCAGGAATACCCCACTCTGAATGTAGCATGAGTGAGAAATAAACACTTACTGTGTTGCACTGCTAAGAATTGGGGTCCATTCACTATAGCAGGTAGAGTTAACCTAATAAACTGGCTAAGGACATTCTTGTACATCCATGCAATGGAGCACTACAGCTATAAAAACAAAGGGAGCAGCTGTTCATTACAGATATGAAATGATCTCCAAAATACTTTCAATGACAAAAAGACAAGGTATAGGAAAATGTGTTATAGCTTGTTGCTTTGTGTCAAAAATCGGTAGGAGGCCGGGCATGGTGGCTTATGCCTGTAATCCTGGCATTTTGGGAGGCCGGGCCAGGCGGACCACGAGGTCAGGAGATCGAGACCATCCTGGCCAGCACGGTGAAACCCCGTCTCCACTAAAAATATAAAAAATTAGCCAGGCGTGGTGGCATGCACCTGTAGTCCCAGCTACTTGGGAGGCTGAGGGAGGAGACTTGTGTGAACCCGGGAGTTGGAGGTTGCAGTGAGCAGAGACTGCACCACTGCACTCCAGCCTGGGTGACAGAGCGAGACTCTGTCTCAAAACAAAACAAAACAAAATCAGTAGGAAAACATAATTCCTTGTCTTAAACAGTGGAAGACAAGAAGAAGCCAATAATATTGGCTCCTTCTATACAAAGGAGCTGGGTAGCTAGATGATGAGTGGGAGACTTCCATTTGTACCCTGAATTTTGAATAGTGTCAATTTTATTCATTTTTAAAAATAGAAATGTAAAGGGAGTGTGCCAGAGATGTCGGCATTTTATTACAAGAGCCAGTAGAAACAAAATTTCTAAAAACACAGAGAGAAAGCAGACAGCGGAAGGAGGGAAGTCCTTGAGCCCTTGAGGGCAGGGGATGTAGACTGCAGTGTAGGGAGAGGGAGCTGCCACGGCCAGGAGGAAGGCCACTGAGGACAGGAGGCAGGACGCTGGAGACGTCAGAGCAGGCAAGCGTGTAGGGTGAGTATACGGGAGCAGGAAGATGGTGGGGAGGTTTCTCTCAAATGGCTTTTATCAGGAGATAAAGTTACCTAATAAAAATGAGATGGCGGCTCTGACTCCAGGGAAGAACAGGAGGACAAGGGAAATAGAAGCTTGTAGGGGAGCACTGCTGGCCCAGATGAGACTGGAGCCACAAGCTTAGAATGAAATCAAGATGCCCCTGAGGTGGGGTTTCTGCCAGCACCCCAAAATAGGGGAGGAGCATGGGACATATATTAATTGACTCAGGGTACAAATTTCTAGGGAACAGGTGACAGAGGGGCTGGGAAGATCAGAGATTTAGAGATAGTGGCAAGAGTGGTAAGTTGGTCCATGTGGGATAGGGTGCATCCGAAAGGAGATTTTGAAGGGGACCGATGGATTTGGGAGAAAGTAGAGAAATCAGAGAGCTGGAGATGTTATTGAGGGGAAAAGAACCTAAGAATAGGGCAAGTAACTGAGTGAGGAGTTCCATTCACATTGTCACGGGAGAAGGAACACTTACAGACTTTTTTTTTTTTTTTTTTTTTTTTTTTTTGAGAGAGTTTTGCTTTTGTTGCCCAGGCTGGAGTGCAATGGCACGATCTCGGCTCACCACAACCTCCACCTCCCAGGTTCAAGTGATTCTCTCCTGCCTCAGCCTCCCGAGTAGCTGGGATTGCAGGCATGCACCACTATGCCCAGCTAATTTGTATTTTTAGTAAAGACGGGTTTCTCCATGTTGGCCAGGCTGGTCTCGAACTCCTGACCTCAGGTGATCCACCTGCCTTGGCCTCCCAAAGTGCTGGGATTACAGGTGTGAGCCACTGCACTCAGCTCCACCTATGGACTTCTTAAGGCAGGTAAATACCTGGGACCTGAGTATCCAGGACCAGCTGGGAGGTTGAGGTCCCAGGAGTAGGGATGGAAAGAAGCCCATGAGCCAGGGGTCCAGGCTCTTTAACAAATGCCAGATAGGGGGCCAGGTGCAGTGGCTCATGCCTGTAATCCTATCACTTTGTGAGGCCAAGGCAGGAGGATCATTTGAGTCCAGGAGTTTCCAGGAGTTCGAGACCAGACTGGGCAACATAGCCGGACCCCATTTCTACAAAAATTTTTAAAAACTAGCTGTGGAGGCACATACTTGTGGTTACAGCTCCTTGGGAGGCTGAGGTGGGAGGACAGCTTGAACCTGGAAGGTCGAGGCTGCAGTGAGCTATGATCACACCATTGCACTCCAGCCTGGGCAAGAGTGAGATCCTGTCTCGAAAAAACAAAACAGTCAGATAGGGTTCTAGATGACCACAGTTGAGTGGGGAAGGGTAGGGCCAGATGGCATGAGCCTCCAAGGAGCCAGGAGTCAGACGTGTGAGAGTGCAGCTGTGAGACTGGCTGCTTCCACTCCTACAGGGGAATGCAGCTGAAAGCAGAGCTCGGGCCTGTACCTCGCTCACCCAGAGCCGAAAGGCTCAACCATAATGACCTGAAGTTCAGAGGCCCCTTGCCTAGCCAATCTCCCCGTCCTTAATCCCAACTTTGATCTCCATGCCTGGACCCTCTTCCCACTGTCCTGCCTTGTCATCGGCTGCACTGTCATCCTCAAAGTCACTCTGTGACTCTAGTCACTCATCCTTTCCAAAATAGTCCTCAAGTTTCCTCTGCAGAAAAGCCTGGCCCTGCCCTGCCATCTCACTCATCCTCCAGAGGCCTGTTGTGAGAGCCCCCTTAGTCCTCACCACCACACTCTCACCCACATTTATAGTCAAGTCTCTCTTATTAAGGGAGGGAATCTGAATCTGGGTTTGCCATCTAAGTTGGCTTTCTCAGAGGCTATCAGAGCCATAAGACCTCACTGCCCTGCCCTAAAGCCACTCCGTCTTCATCTCTTTGCTCTGCTGCAGCTGTTGGAACTCAGTCTCACTCATTAGCAGTCCCAAGACTTCTGCACTGAGGCTGTCCTGAGGATCTCCAGAGGTAAGATCTGCCTCTCCTTCCCGGAATAGCTAGGGTTTTTTTCCAGCCTTCTATGAGCCTGGCAGAAAGGAAGAGGGACCCTGCATTGAGAAATCAACTCAGCCATGCTCACGTGTTGCTGAGAGAACTCACCAGCTAGCAAAGCCCATCAGTGCACTCCTTGAGGAATCAAATAAACACAACCTGAGCCTGAAGACTAAGAGCTGTTTAGGGCTTACTGTTGAGTGGGGGAGGGAGGGCAGAGAGCAGGATACACTATGGTCCATCCACAATGCGTTCAACAACATAAAATCGCACATCGAAAATTGAAAGAAGGCCAGGCAAGGTGGCTCACACCTGTAATCCCAGCACTTTGGGAGGCTGAGGCGGGAGGATTACCTGAAGTCAAGAGTTCAAGACCAGTCTAGCCAACATGGAGAAACCCTGTCTCTACTAAAAATACAAAATTATCCAGGCGTGGTGGCACATGCCTGTAATCCCAGCTACTCGGGAGGCTGAGGCAGGAGAATCGCTTGAACCCGGGAGGTGGAGGTTGTGGTGAGCCGAGATTGCGCCACTGCACTCTAGCTCAGGCAACAAGAGTGAAACTCTGTCTCAAAAAAGAAAAGAAAATGGAAAGAAAGCATGCCTAAATATTTACAGGACTTTCCTCTGCTGAGATTACAAGTAGTTCCCCAAAATTTCAGGTTTTTTTTTTTGTTGTTGTTGTTGTTTTGAGACGGAGTCTTGCTCTGTTGCCAGGCTGGAGTGCAGTGGCGCGATCTCGGCTCATTGCAACCTCCACCTCCCGGGTTCAAGCGATTCTCCTGCCTCAGTCTCCTGAGTGGCTGGGAATACAGGCGTCTGCCACCATGCCCGGCTAATTTTTTGTATTTTTAGTAGAGACGGGGTTTCACTGTGTTAGCCAGGATGGTCTCGATCTCCTGACCTTGTGATCCACCTGCCTTGGCCTCCCAAAGTGCTGGGATTACAGGCATGAGCCACCACGCCTGGCCCAAAATTTCTTTAGAAAAATAGCCAAATATTCTACAATAGTATACATTACTTGCATAATTTTTTTTTTTTTTTTTTTTTTTTTTGAGACGGACTTTCGCTCTTGTCACCCAGGCTGGAGTGCAATGGTGTGATCTCAGCTCACTACAACTTCTGCCACTTGGGTTCAAGCAATTCTCCTGCCTCAGTCTCCTGAGTAGCTAGGACCACAGGCGCCTGCCACCAGGCCCAGCTGATTTTCGTATTTTTAGTAGAGACCAGATTTCACCATGTTGGCCAAGCTGGTCTCGAACTCCTGACCTCAGGTGATCTGCCTGTCTCAGCCTCCCAAACTGCCGGGATTACAGGTGTGAGCCACCATGCCTGGCTAGACTAATTTTTTAAGATACGGCTTCTACAGCAGTGAGTAGACATGTCACTATGTCAGTGGAAAAACACTGTTTGAGTCACAGACCTAAGACTCTGCTGGCGGCTACAGGCCTTCTCCCTGGAAAAATGCTCATCTGCTCTTTCACACATTGACACCCCATTGTGCACTACCCTGGGTGCCCCAATGTCAAGGGAACAAGCATCCCTGCCTGTAAGAGGCAGAATGTTTCTGGGCCAGCCACACTGATTATAAGCTGACCAACAACGCTGGAACTTCAAAAGAAATGTGTAAATCCAAATAGAAGCATCACAAAAAAGTCCAGAGGCTAGTAATGGCTCTGACACCCAGCCTGTACAGGGAAGGGGGTTAGTTACCCTGGCCTGAACCCCAAGATGACTGTGGCAGGTCTACTGTGCTTAGGGATAGGGTCACACTAGGTGTCCAAATATTCAATTCATCCAGCTGACTCCTTTGTTCACATCCCAGGCTCACAAATGCCTTTAAGAAAAATGTGGCTTCTTTTTTTTTTTTTTTTTTTTTTTTTGAGACGGAGTCTCGCTCTGTCGCCCAGGCTGGAGTGCAGTGGCCGGATCTCAGCTCACTGCAAGCTCCGCCTCCTGGGTTCGGGCCATTCTCCTGTCTCAGCCTCCTGAGTAGCTGGGACTACAGGCGCCCGCCACCTCGCCCGGCTAGTTTTTTGTATTTTTTAGTAGAGACGGGGTTTCACCATGTTAGCCAGGATGGTCTCGATCTCCTGACCTAGTGATCCGCCCGTCTCGGCCTCCCAAAGTGCTGGGATTACAGGCTTGAGCCACCACGCCCGGCCAAATGTGGCTTCTTTTAAGGCAGAGGTTTATAAACTTGAATAAAGGCCAGAGAGGCAAGGTGTGAAAAACCACCAAAAGTATAATCCAACCTTATTTAATATGATATAAGATTTAACAAACATATATAATGCCATAGATTGTACTCTAAACTTCATATTGAAAAAATGTAATTTGAAAATAGAAATAATTATCTCAAGTTTCATAATTTATTACTTCTCAGATTTGAAATCCAAAATCTAACATTCCTTTCTTATGGCCCAAGGTGTCAATCAACATCAGGTTGTGAATCTTGTATAGCAACGTGCAGCAGAGAATTCATCTTTCCTTTAACTGGGAGCAATATTTAGTTTTACTTAGTTTCATAAGAGAAAATAGCTGCTCATAAACATAGGTACTTCCAAACATGCACAGAATCTCCGCACAATGTGTTTTATATTTAGGGTAACCATTACCTAGGTATCTGTAGCATTCTGGGATTCCCACATCATCATATTTAGTTTTCAGTATAGTGTTGCACTGCAATTCAATAATTTCCATTTGCAGCTCTTCATTCACATGATTAATACTCATTGAGAAAGGTGAACTGAACAATATCATTTCATTTTCATACAGTTTGAAATCAGAGAATCTTTTTTGGAATTCAGTCTTCAATTCTTTAATTTTTGGAATATAGTTCAGGCCATCGCTTTCTTTTTCAGAAACTAATTTCAGTTTAGGGAAGTGGGCCAGATTGTTCCTTGTCAAATGAGTTTCCCAAAGACATAATTTTGCTAGGAATTAGTAAATTGAATCATACATTTGTGTAACCACTTGTGAACACCTTTGCAGAGAAATATCCAATGTATTTAGATGTGTTGTCATGTCAATCAAACAGGCTAAGTCTTTGACCCAATTTTTGCTAGTGAGCTGAGGCACAGATTTTCCTTTAGAAGACATGAAAAAGTCAATTTCTTCCAACAGTTCAAAAAACTGCTTTAGCACCATACCACGACTCAGCCACTTCACTTCCATGTCACAGAACAGGCTTCCATATTGTGCATCTAACTCACTGAACAAAGTGTTGAACTTTCTGTGGTTTGAGCCATGGGAATGTATCCAGGTTATGCTGTAAATTACTGTGTCCATGACAGGATCCATTTTTAACTTTTTAGCACAAAGTGACTCCTGGAGAATGAGGCCATGCACACACTTAAGTTCTGTGCTTTTGCAAAGCCCTGCCACCTTAGATTTCAGTTTTGTACCAAGTTGTTTAACACCAACCATTGCAGAATTACCATCTGTGCTAACACTTACTAATTTTGACCAGTCTACATTAAATTTTTAAGACTTTTCTCAACACATAAAAATATGTCATTTCCTGATGCTGTGCCTGTTATGAGTACCATATCTAAAAGTTCTTCAGTCACATCAAAAGTTTCATCAAGGCCGGGCATGGTAGCTCACGCCTGTAATCCCAACACTGTGGGAGGCTGAGGCAGGCAGATCACGAGGTCAGGAGATCGAGACCATCCTCGCTAACACGGTGAAACCCCGTCTCTACTAAAAAATACAAAAAACTAGCCGGGCGTGGTGGGGGGTGCCTGTAGTCTCAGCTGCTCAGGAGGCTGAGGCAGGAGAATGGCGTGAACCCGGGAGGTGGAGCTTGCAGTGAGCCGAGATCACGCCACTGCACTCCAGCCTGGGCGACAGAGTGAGACTCCATCTCATTTAAAAAAAAAAAAAAAAAAAAAAGTTTCGTCAACACCACGAATGAACACAGACAACCAGGGAGCATTATTTATATCAGTGTTCTCATGAGCTGTGATAGAGAAAGCCACAAATGATTTCACTTTTTCTTGAAACCTGCCCTGTAAGTTTTCAGCCATATCATCAACAGGCTGAGCAACAATATTACCAGTCAGTCTTATATTTGCAAATGCTTGTCTCTGTTAAGGGCACATAATTTCTGCTGCACTCAACAAGCATTCTTTTATGAACTCCCCATCTGTAAAAGGTTTTGATTCCCGGGCAATTTTCTCACTTAATATACAGCTACACTTCATAGCAGCATCACCTATTTTATTCACATTCAAAAGCAAATCATGTTGAAATCTCAGTCTTTTTCTCAGTTCGTTAAGTTTTTTTGTCACGCATCTTTTCTATATATCCATCGTGGTTCTTGCTATGGTTTGTTTCACAATGGTGTCTTAGGGTATGCTCTTTCAACACAGACTTTGTTTGCATATTAAACATGTAGGAACATTCTTTACCTCCACAAAAAAATAGTCTCTCTCCCATTTTTCTTGAAAAGTGTGGTTGTCTTGTTCTATACTTTCTCTTTCCACTTGTGAAAGAGACAAATGCATAAGAAATATCAAAATGTCATCTTTTTTTCTTTTTCCCGCGAGACAGAGTCTCACTCTGTCGCCCAGGCTGGAGTGCAGTGGTGTGATTTTGGCTCACTGCAACCTCTACCACCCGGGTTCAAGGAATTCTCCTGCCTCAGCCTCCCGAGTAGCTGGGATTACAGGTATGCGCCATCATGCCCAGCTAATTTTTGTATTTTTAGTAGAGATGGGGTTTCACCATGTTGGCCAGGCTGGTTTCGAACTCCTGACCTCATGATCTGCCCTCCTAAGCCTCCCACAGTGCTGGGATTACAGGCATGAGCCACCATGCCCAGCCATGTCATCTTTACAATATATTTTTAAAAGGGCCATTTTCTAAGAAAAAACTATTAACTCTATGTTTAAAAGTGTAAGTGTTGTGCTGTTCCCACCACTGTTGGTGTGGAGACCCTCAGGAACTGTGGGGTTTACCAGCAAACAAGA